TTCTTTATTATTTATTTCAATTTACATATTTGTTATCAAATTATTCTAAGCTAATTATTTGTCATTAAGTTTAAGTTATAAAATTATTATTAATCAAAAGCATCAAGATGATGTAATAAAAGTCAAGTATCAGTCAATACTTTCACAACCTGACATATTAGTTTTGTATTGCTGCATTACAAATCACCATAAACTCACCAGTGTAAAACAAAACCCATTTATTAGCTCACAGTTCTGTATGTCAAAAGTCTGGACACCGAGAAACTCTGCTTAGAGTTTGACAGGCAGAAATCAAGGTGAATGGCCATGGTGGGATCTTATCTGGAAGGTCTGAGGAGAATCTGCCTCCAGGTTCATTCACATTGTTGGTAGACTTGAGTTCCTGGTATGTGTGGGACTGAGGTCTTCATTTATTTGCTGGCTGTTGGCCAGAAGTTATTCTCAGCAAGTAGAAGCCACCCTCAAGTTCTTGCATGTGGCCCCTTCCATCTTCCAAGCCATCAATGTTGCATCAAATCCTTCTTGTGCTTTGAATCTATCTGATTTCCTCTTCTGCCATCAGCTGGAGAAAACACTCTGCTTTTAAAGTGCTCATGTGATTACATTAGGTCTACCCTGATGATCTCTCTTTTGATTAACTCAGTTAACTGATTAGTAACCTTAATTGCCTCTGCAAAATGCCTTTGCCATGTAAGATAACATAATCACATGCATGATATTCACAGTCCTAGGGATTAAGGGCAAGAGATGTTGGGGAGTCATCTTCAGATTTTTACCTACCACAGCTGACATCTGCAATTAAAACAACTGCTTTGCCACTCTTCCCAATAGCAAAAGTTCTTTAGAATATTTTTAATGTCACCTTCCCAACCCCCAACACCTGTCATTTCCCTCCTCCTCCACACCCCCCCCACCCCGTTAGGATTTCAGAATACATTCATTCTTCCTCGCCCCCTTCTTTTAGGCTTTGTGGGAATTTTTTTAGTATTTATTTTAAAATCCGTTACAATGTATTCCCTGTTTTTCAGCCATCCTTAGTTAACATTAGGTTCTTTATTCTCAGATTAGATTCATCTATTAAGATCTAATTCTTGTTTATCTTATTCACTACAGTATCCCTGTTGTCAACAACTATGTTCGCATGTATCAGGCACACAACAAATATTTTTTTGATTGAATTAATGAATCTGTTCATATGGTGAGGCTCCCTGTTTATCATTTATTCCTGTCTTCTTCATCTTGCCTCTGGCTTGAGTTCTTCATTTGGGTTTCACTTACATCTTAGCTAGACTATCTCAAGTATTTATCCCAGAGGAGTTACTTGGATAACTCTATTTTGTCACCTATCCTTGAATGTCTTTATTCAGGTAAACAATACTTTAGCTGGATACAGCATTCTTGAGGTGTTATTCTTTTTCTCTGATGTTATTCCATTGTCTTTTAGTTTCCTTTGTTTACAGATGGGTATTCTAGTGGCATTATGATTCTTTTTGCTCAAGAGGCAATTTGATCTTTCTTCCTGGAAGACTGTAAAAAGTTTTTCTTTATCCACTAAAGTTTAAGAATTTTACCAGAAAATAACTGGGTGAGTATCTTTTCTTAACAGTTCAGCCTAGAGCCCTGAGAGTGCTGTAAATCTGCAGACTCAAGTCAGCTCGGGCTTGAAAAATGCTCCCCTAGAATTTGTTTAAGTACAGTTTCTCCTCCATCTGTTCTCTTTTCCCCTTCAGGATACCTACTACCCATATGTTCAGTTTCCTGGATTTACCCACCAATCTTTTATCTTTCCATCATCATTTCCATCTAGCTGATTAGAAGCCAGGCCCTCGGGCAGCAGCTTTTAAAGTATGCAAATATATACAGTCCTGTGGTCCCCGATGGCCACCAGTGTCAGGCAATGTACAGATGTCCCCTGGTGGCGAGTTGCAAAGCTCAGGGTGCCATACAAGCATTAAGCTCATTTGGGGGAGATACGGTGAGTGGTAGTAGCTAGGCAGAGGGAGACTGCAAAGTTCTCCAGCCTCCATTCCCTGAGGGCACTTCTGTTGGTTTCTAGTTGTGTGCCAAACCCCTTGCCAGCATTAGCAAGCAGGCCTCTTTGACAGAAAGACTGGGGTGTGTCTCAGTCTGCTGTCTGTGCAGTGCCCCAGGAGCGGTGGCCTGCCAAGAACTGTCTCTCTGATTGTTACAGTCCCATGAAACTCAGGATCACAAGCACCCCTGGCCCACAGAGCCAGATGATCAAGGGGCATCCCCTGGGTGGCAGCTATAAAACCAGGGGCACCAGGCACGTGCAACAGCTCCCCTCCAGGAGATAGTGATGCTCTGCAGTGCAACAGAGGGAGGGCACCAAGATGGTGCCCACTGGCTGGAATCAGGCAGAGGGAGAACATATAAGTGGTGCCTCCTGGGGGAAAAGGGGTACAACAGAAGATGGCACCTGCCAATCAGAATGAGACACAAGGCAAGCGTGTACATGGTGCCTGCAGGGGGTGGGGGTGGAGGGTGGGGGAAGAGAAAAGAAAGAAAAAGACACCACCTGCTGGCCAGAGGGAGGCAGAGGGAGAGTGTGAAGAGGGTACTCACCAGCTAGCAGGCCCCTAGATGTGTGCAGAATTAGATGCCTGTCCCTCAGACCCAGGCTTTGAAATCGGCAAATGAGTCTCATTCACACAAAGTCTGAGCATGTCTCTATCTGCCACCTCTGCACTGAACCCCCAGGCAAGTAAGTCCAAGGGTGCAAACCCCTTAAGAGCTTTTTTTTCTTAGATCCTCACAGCCTTGGGGGCCCCACTGAGATGAGCCCTGTTATTTTTCAAAGCTAGATGTTTTGGGGGATTGTCTCTCAGCTCTTAAAAGTTGATATGCCTGGTGTGGGGTTCAAACCCTTCCTCCTCCAGGGGAAGCTCGGGGTTTTGTGTTCCCCCCCAATTGCGGGTCACGGCACTGGGAACAGGGCTTATGGCAAGGTTGTGTCCCAGCCTCTCCTACCTGCCTCAAAGTAGGACTTCTCTCACTCACCAGATGCACAGGAGTTGCTCGGACAGTTTTTCTCTGAAGACTTTGTGCCGTATGTAGCTGCAGACTGGGTTTGTCCGTGGGAAGAAGACATGAGCCCGGGAGCCTCCTGGGTCGCCATCTTGAACCGTAATCTTGTCCTCAGCGCTTCTATTTCTGTATTTCTGTGACATACGTTCTGATAGCTCAACTTGTTCCTTCTCTCTTGAGTGTCTGGACCCTCTCGGCTGGGCTGCTATCTTTTTTTGTAGCTTCTTTGGAACTTGGATTTTATTGTTGAGAAAGTGTAAAGGGCAGTGACAGGCAAAATACTCTCAGGACCTGGGGCATGTGATGAAAACCCAGTGTACCAGTCCTGCAGAACTTCCCTGTCGTCTCCTACCCTGAATGGCAGGGTAGATGCCACTTAGTCTTTCAGCTCTCTCCTGATCTGTGGACAGTTAGGGAGGGGGACACTCACCTGAAACGGAGGTGGAGAATTTCCCAGGATTAGGTGCCTTGGGTTTCAAAGTGCTTACAAAGTACCCTCTAATCCAAGGAAGCCCTGGACCACTCCTCACCAAAAGGATCCAACAGTGCCTAAAGCCTCCCCCGCACCCCCAGGTCCTCAGGCTCAACAGATACATGGCTCAGGAGAGTCAAGTAGTTTCAAATTGAAAGTGGAAGAAAGGAAGCTGTGTCACCACATTCCCAGAATCACTCAAATTTATTTAATCACAGAAAGAACACTTTCACTGAACAACTGTTACCATCCTCATAACCAGTGTTTAGAATTAGAGGTTTGCAGAACATACTTTGGGAAATGCAGGTAAACATCCCCTTAGGAAGCATCTTTAATGCAAACCGACCTGTTTGGTAAAAGATATTTTCACAATGCAGGCTTTGGTTATGATCAATGTTTCAAAGTAGTGCTTTTGATAAACCAACAAGGAAAATCACTGAAAAGGAAATAAAATTAAAACAAATGCTCTAACTTGACATGATGTTATCTGCATATTTTGAGAACAATTTCACTCTTTGGTAGGAATTTAGATGCAGACATACACAAATTTAATACTGAAAAGAGGGGAAAACTGGCATCAGGGTATTCTCTGCTCGCCAAGCTGAAAGAATGTTATTGAAGATTCCTTACATAAATGTTCCTTGACCTTTGAGTGAACCAGCAGGTCTTAAACATTGCATTAGCCAAAGCAAATTCCCATAGCAAATAAAGTTTTTAGATGAATGCATTAGATTTTTCCCTCTTCAGTGTAAAGAGGAATAACCGTCAACCATCATCAGGAGCAGCAAGTTAACATTTTCAGGTTGATTCTCAAAGATCACTGGGATTCTGATACAGAGTAAACATTGTTCCAGTTCTAAAAGAAAGACAGGGGTCTAGTAGTTGATGAAAAAAAATGACTTAAATGCTTATTTTAAGATTGCTACCTGAAATAATCACTGTTCAAAATGCCAAGTCCCCATATGCTATGATCTTATAATGGTGGTATGCCAGGTTTTAGGGCATCTGATGATGTGGGTCTCTTAAAATCCATTACAGAAATGGCTTGTTTCAAATAATTTTTTATTTGAAAAAAATTTTTACAGTGCACTATTGTGAGACTTCTGATAAAAATAAGATTATCAGTCTAGCAGAAGATTAACAATGGATTATTCTGCAATTTACGGATCTTTTCTTTTATTCATTCACTCATTCATTCATTCATTTCTTTATTTTGAGAGACTGAGAGACAGAGAGAGAGGGAGAGAATCCCAAGCAGGTTGGCTGACAGTGCAGAGCCTGACGTACAGCTCGATCCCATGACCCTGAGCTGAAATCAAGAGTCAGTGCTTAACCGACTAAGCCACCCAGGTGCCCCTACAGAGCTTTTTAGTTAAGACTTCAGGTACTTTGACATTTTCTAGATTGTCTCTGTACTTCTTCCCTCTTCAGGGTAGCATGAGAATGTACAGTGATTAAAATTTTCTAAACCATTCAAATGTCTGGTTTTCATTATTTATTTATGAAAACATCTGATCCACTTTATATTTCTTATCTATCTACATTTCAGAATTCCGTTTGTAGAAAAAAGATTTAAAAGCCACACTAATTAGACCCCACTTTGTCAAGTGTTAAATGACAGGTCAATGACAAACTTTTTCATTCAAGTAACTGGGTTCTTCAGACAAATGTTAAAGTTCAAAAACACTAAGTAGCTCAAAAATGCTGGGAGTGTAGCAGAAAAGCTATAATTTTGTTTACTTAAGCCTTTTACAAACGAAAAGGTCAGCGTTGAGGTGTTACAGAATTATGATAGTGCTATACGAGGGCTCTGAAAGAAAATGGTTCACCAAAGGCCAATAGTCACTTGAGCGCTGGCATTGCCACTGTGTGAATTAAGTAATTTTTTTATTCTCTTGTCCTCTGTTGAATGCTTTTAGCAGTTGCTAAGGATGAATCTGGTGAAAAATCAAGTACTCCAAATCCAAAATATCTTCTGGAGACTTCACCAAAGTAAATACCAAAACAAATGACTTCCAACATGACGGCTGCTCCTTCTGGTTTCTTCTGATTTTTGTGGCTCCATAAGCAGAACTCAGTGCACTTAGCTGTCACCCAATCCAGGAAAGGCGACCACAGCAGCTGCTGTCCACTCCACATTTGCTTCTTCCAAAAGAGAAGTAGTATAATGTAGTGGTTAAGGGCTTTTTAAGCAGGTAGTCATGATTCCAAATCTTACAATTTTCTAGACCTCTTCTAAGCCTCAATGTCTTCACCAGCAAAACAGTTGAACAGTCCTCCCTCACTGGCTTACCGTGAGGATGAAACGGGATAAGGTTTGGAAAGAACTAGTATGGTGTCTGGCATGTGATCATCAATGATGGATGTACCTGAAGATACACAGCCTCTCTCCTGAGTCTCTTCTCCTCTCCCTTTTCTCCTTGCACCAGAGACATGCAGAAAAGGAAGTGACGGACAAGGCATTGCACTTGCATTTTCTGATGCATCAAGACCTTCCTCCTCCTATCATCTGTTCTACAGTTGAAGGAGACAAGACTTTTTATAATCAGATGTTTCACGTCCTCTCAGCCTTATCTCCTGCCTCTTCTCCACCCCACGATGAGCTTTTCTCCAGCTGTCCACCCAAACACTCCGTGTAACTTCAAACGTTATACAGGTTGTTTTCTCTGTCTAGAAGGCTCTTCTCAACTTGGGTCCACCAAAGTCCTATTCATCCTTTACCACAGATATACTTCCTTTGTGAATTTGGAGTACATCTTCATCAGCCTTCCAAGCTTCTCTCTCATCAGTACTCCCATTGCACATTGCTCTCAGCTTTCTTAAGTCATGAATCATCTTGGAATTTCTTGATGAATTGCTAGGAGTGTCTTTCCTGGAACAGTGTGACTCTCTCCAGGACAGCACCCATCTCTTATGCTAGCAGGGTTTAGCCCAGTGTCTGGCACTTAGTGTTCAATAAGATGTCTGTAATTATAATAAATGGACTCTCCTCTTGTGAATTCCCCCATAAATCTCATCCTTTCCCATTCACATTCACATCAAGTCTCCCATAATCTCTATTTTGATGTTCGCTGCTCTGAAAACATAAAAGATACAATATATGTGTGCATCAAATCAACACTTTGTACACCTTAAACTTACACAATTATGTGCCGACTGTATCTCAATAAAGCTGGAAAAAATAAATCAACAAATCATGAAAGACAGCCACTCACACCCTGCCTCAGTTTGGCTCTCCCAAAAGCAGACTCTGAAACAAGGATTTTTTTTTTTTAATTTTTTTTTCAACGTTTATTTATTTTTGGGACAGAGAGAGACAGAGCATGAACGGGGGAGGGGCAGAGAGAGAGGGAGACACAGAATCGGAAACAGGCTCCAGGCTCTGAGCCATCAGCCCAGAGCCTGACGCGGGGCTCGAACTCACGGACCGCGAGATCGTGACCTGGCTGAAGTCGGATGCCTAACCGACTGCGCCACCCAGGCGCCCCTGAAACAAGGATTTTTAATGCAAGCAATTTATTTGAGGTAATTGAGGTAATCCCCAAAACACCAAAGGGAAAGTGGGGTAAGTGAGAAAAGGAAAAGGAAGCAGCAAATAAAAGTGAATCCCACTCGGTGCCAGGTGTGAACTCCTATGAGAAAACAGTGTGAAAGAGAATTTTCTTACCTGAGCTCAAGAATTCACCCACCACCTCTACCAGTCACTTGGGAAGACTGCTCCTGGAGAATGTCAATTCCTTGGTCCTTCCACTTGCCACATGCCATTGCAGGGTAGTCACCCTTGGCTTGGAAGAAAAGATCAGGCAGATTTGGCCTAACTGAAGTGTGGAGGCTTGCCTGAGAAATAAGAGCAGGGCACCAATAGCAGCATACCTCTCAGGCACTGGCTCCCCCTTGGAAGCTTTGGTTTAGCCCCATCAGCAGTAAGGCCCCTATTTCAACCCACAAGCATAGTGACCAATGTGGAGTTTAAATAGCAAAAATTTTCTTCCCAAAGATAGCAAGGCGACATGAAAAAGGAAAAAGGATTTTTACAACAGCTGCTCCTTATTTATACGTTGCTGCTAGGATTGTGAACTAGAAAAATACATAAATGGATCATCTGGAGAAGAATGTTTCTTGCAGACAGAGAAGACCCTCTCACATTCTCTGCTCTCAAGGGAAGAATCTATTCCTTTGATGATCTAGTCCAGTATTTAAATGTCCTTGACTCTGAGCAATGAAAATAGCTTACATTTACTGGATGTTTACTGTGCATCAGGATGCAAAGCTGAGCTCATTTAATCCTCCCAACAACCTCATAATTACTGTTATATCTGAAATTTTTCACATCAGAAAACCAAAGTCAGATAAGTTAAGGAATCTGTCCAAAGTTATAGACTGCAGGTAAGTGTTTGGAGACAGGACTCTAACCCAAGTCCTTTTGAATCCAGTATTCATATCCTTCACTTATATTCATTAAGTTCATTATCCCATGTCCTTCACAAAGAGAAAGATCCAGTTAGTCAGCATTTTCCATATAACTCTTCTTCAAATACCCCCTCTTTAAGCTAAATTATATTCATTTATTTAGCTGTTCCTAATATAACTTATCTTTTTAAATGTATTTATTTATTTTGAGGGGGTTGGGGCAGAGGGAGAGAGAGAATCCCAAGCAGTCTCTGTGCTGCCAGCACAGAGCCCGATGTGGGGCTAGATCCCACAAACCATGAGATCATGACCTGAGCTGAAATCAAGAATTGGATGCTTCACTGAGTCACCCAGTCGCCCCCAATATAACTTATTTCCCTGTCTTTTACTCATGTATGTTTCTGTCTCCCAACCTCTTAATTTTATATATTCTTCAATAAAATATGTCAAAGTGCTGCGTGTACAGACCTCATCTAATTCCTGGCAAGTCCATAAATCACAAAACTATTATTGAAAATTATCTATAAGCATTTATGTTTAAATCTTAAATTATGCTAGCCAAATAAAAGCATCATGAAATTACTCCCAGATAAAAAAATTACAGCATGTGGGACATAAAGCAATTCTGAAGCAGAGTAAATTCATTACAATCTTGAGAATAAATGGCGCTTTGGGTGGTGAAAGTGTTCTGATTATGCTCATAACCAGGCTTCATTCTTCAACTAGCACATTCAAGGAAAATTTTGTCTTAAATTTGATTTATGTTTGCAAACATGTGGTGAGCTCTTTCAGCAAGTATCTTTCCCCAGATTCCTTAAACTGGCACAGTTTCTATGAAGTTTATTTTGCTTCTTTGCAGTCACCATCTAGGGCATATGATATATATAGTGTGGCAAGTCTCAATTTTTCTTCAAGTTTACCTTTATTACCGTCACTCTGTGGGCCTTAAATTTCAGCAGTTTCCAAAATTGTAACTGTATACTAATCAAAACCATTAATTTTTATATATTACTTTTTTAACTCCCTGTATTAGAACCAGAATGTAAGGCTTAATGGAGGAAAGCACGAGCATGGGTATCTGTGTATGGTACTCATCACTCATTCTTCTATGGCCCTGAATAAGATGAGAGGTGCAGTCACCTGCCCCTTTCTGACCTGAGTGACTTTTGGTCCATATGTTGGCTTTCTCAGTTTGCCCTTCCAGATTTGCCTTTCTCCATAGTGCCCTGTGCCCATATGGCTGACCTGCATAGACTCTAGCAGTGAGCTCCCTTACCCTCTGCCTTTCAGTTGAGTTGGTACAATGGGGAACACTGATTCCATCTGTAGGTCAGTTTCTAACATCATCATTCATGCAAATTTATTCAATTCATTCACGTGTCACATTCTGTACTCGTCATTGGAGAGTCAACGGTTGCTAGGTAAATGTACCATTTATGTCTCATGATCCTAACATTTTCCTTTTGGAAGCCCATATTGAAAGTATTTTTCTACTGGGCTGTATTTATTAAGTAATTTTACACTTGTAAAAAGTAATCAAAGGCCACCAATAGATGAATGGATAAACAAAATATTGCCTATATACACAACAGAATATGACTCAGCCATAAAAAGGAATTAAGTACTGATAATTGCTACAGTGTGGATGAACCTCAAAAATATTAGGCTAAGTGAAAGACATAAAAGCTCACATATTATGTGACTCCATCTACATGAAATATCTAAAGTAAATAAATCCAAAAAGACAAAAAGTAGATTGGTGGTTGCCTTGGGTTAGCGGGATCAGGAAATGAGAAGTGACTACTTAATGGGTATGAGATTTTGTTTGGGGTGATAAAAACATGTTTTGTAACTACTAGGAGGAAGTGTTTCCACAACATTATGAATGTAGTAAGTGCCAATAAATTATACACTTTAAAATGGTTAATTTTATGTTATGTGAATTCACCTCAATCAAAAGAATTAATCAACAGTAAATTTAGTGGCCAATCATCATTCTATCAGCAGAGATAACCAGAAGTTACTCTCTTAATATGAGTTGATACCAGCTAAAAGCAAAACAAAACAAACAAAAAACCTTGTTTCAATTTGTCCATAAACTAATCGTTTATCCTTATTAATCAGACAGCTTTCTAACTACTGGTTTCTATATTTAAATTATCTTTAAACCAATAAAGAAGTACTATTGAGAGGTAACTCAAGTATTCCAGGTACTATACTATGTTTTATTATAAATTCATTATATTAACTTTTTGCCTCGTATAATAAAACCAGCCATGATAATAATAAAATGATGAAAATCCACAACATAACATCACTATCAACATCTAATACTTACTGAGCCTTTAAGTATTGCCAGGAATGGGTGAAGTGCTTAACAAGCATCATTTCATTCATACCTCACATTTTACTCACATTATTTCATTACAATAGTAACATAGGAGGTACTTATTACCCTCATTTTCAGATGATGACACAGATGCAGAGGTCAGATAACTTGATCAAGATCAAAATCCAGTAAAAAGCAAAGCCAAGGTCTAATCGAGCAGTCTGTCTCCTGCAACCCATGTGGTTAATCCATGTTGTTATACACAAAGCTTTGGTAGATTTACTAAGCTATGTTTAGTTTCCCTGATGGCAGGTGATTCAAGCATTAACAAAACTGAATACCTCAGCCAAAAAATAAAGGCTGGACCACATTCAATGGTAAACCAGAGATCTAGAAAAGCCCAGACTTGGTATGTTGACCACTTGATATACCCAGATAATGTTTCCTTTTTTTAAAAATTAAAATATAGTTGACACACAGGCTATGTTAGTTTCAGGTGTCCAACATAATCGTTCAAAAGTCTATACCTTATGCTATTCTCAACACAAGTCTAGCTACCATCTGTTACCATCCAATGCCATTACAACACCACTGACTATATCCCCTCCTATGCTGTACCTTTTCTTCCCATGATTTATTCATTTCATAACTGGAAGCCTGTACCTTTTACTCTTCCTTATGCATTTTGCCCTTCCTCCCAACCTCCTCCCCTCTGGCAACCATCAATTTGTTTTCTGTATTTATGTGTCTGCTATGCTTTGTTTTGTTTTTCAGATTCCACATGTAAGTGAAATTACATAGTCCTTGTCTTTCTTTTATTTCTCTTAACATAATACCTTCTAGATCCACTCATGTTGTTACAAATGGTAAGATTTCATTCTTTTTTATGCTGAACAATATTTCTTTGTATATATATACCACATCTTCTTTATGCATTCTTCTATTGGTGGACACTTGGGTTGCTTCCATCTCTTGGCTACTGTAAATAATGCTACAGTAAACACAGGGGTGCATATATCTTTTTGATTTAGTGTTTTATTTTCTTTGGGTAAATACCCAGTAGTAGAACTAGTGGAGCATATGGTATTTCTATTTTTACTTTTTTGAGGAGCTTCCATTCTATTTTCTACGGTGGCTGCATCAATTTACATTCCCACCAATAGTGCATGAGAGGGTTCCCTTTTCTCCAACCCCTTGCCAACACTTATCTTTTGTCTTTCTTATTCTAGCCATTCTGACAGGTATTGGGTGATATCATGGTTTTGATTTACATTTCCCTGATGATTAATGATGTTGAGCATCTTTTCATGTGTCTATTGGCCATCTGTATATGTTCTTTGGAAAAATACCTATTCAGGTCCTCTGCCCATTTTTTAAAAATTGAAGTATAATGAGCCCTGCCCATTTTTTAATTGGATTTTTTATGTTTGCTTAGTTGTAGAAGTTAACTATCTATTTATTGGTTCTTTTCATAAGTTCTTTGTATCCTTATCAGATATATCATTTGCAAATATCATCTCCCATTCAGTAGCTTACTTTTTAATTTTGTTGATGGTTTCCTTCACTGTGCAAAAGCTTTTTATTTTGGTGTAGTCCCAGTAGTTTATTTTTGCTTTTGTTTCCTTGGCCTGAGGAGACTTATCTAGAAAAAAAAGCAGAACAGATTACTACCTATGTTTTCTTCTAGGAGTTTTATAGTTTCAGGTCATACATTTAAGTCTTTAATCCATTTTGAGTTTATTTTAATGTGTGGTGTGAGAAACAGGTCCAGTTTCATTCTTTTGCATGTAGCTGCCCAGCGTTTCCAGCACCATTTATTGAAAAGACTGTCTTTTCCTCAATGTATATTCTTGCCTCTTTTGTCATAGACTAATTGACCATATAAGCATGGATTTATTTCTGGGCTCTTATTCTGTTCCATGGATCTATGTGTTGTGCCAGTGCCAATACCATACTGTTTTGGTTATTATTGTAGTATATCTTCAAACCTGGGATTGTGATATCTCCAGCTTTGCTCCTCTTTCTCAAAATTTGTTTTGGTTATTCGGTGTCTTTTGTGGTTCCATACAAAATTTAGTATTATTTGTTCTGTAAAAAATGCTGTTCGTATTTTGATAGGGATTGCATTGTATCTATAGATTGCTTTGGGTAGTATGGACATTTTATGTATAGTTGTTCTTTTTTTAGTGTTTATTTATTTTGAAAGAAAGAGAGAGAGGGAGGGAGAGAGAGAATCCCAAACAGGCTCTGTGCTTTAGGTACAGAGTCTGACATGGGGCTTGATCTCAGGAATTATGAGATCATGACCTAAGCTGAAATCAAGAGTTGGATGCTAAACCAACTGAACCATCCAGGCTCCCCTATATAGCTGTTCTTTAGTCTTAAACATGCAAGCCTTTAAAATATTGAGGATAATATACCCAAACTAGGAAATCTATTAAAAATGGCCCCTTAAGAAATATGTTTAATTTTAATATTTATTTATTTTTGAGAGAGACAGAGCATGAGCAGGGAAAGGGCAGAGACAAAGGGAGACACAGAATCTGAAGCAGAGAATCTGAAGCAGGTTCTAGGCTCTGAGCTGTCAGCACAGAGCCCGACGTGGGGGTTGAACTCATGAACAGTGAGATCATGACCTGAGCCAAAGTCAGACACTTAACTGACTGAGCCACCCAGGCACCCCTAAATATTAAATACACAAAAATAAACTCAAAATGGATTAAAGACTTAAATGTGAGACATAAAACCATAAAATCCTATAAGAAAGCACAAGCAGCAATTTCTCTGATATCAGCCACAGCAACATCTTTCTAGATATGTCTCCTGAGGAAGGGAAATAAAAGCAAAAATAAACTATTGGGAATACATCAAAAAAAGTCTTCTGCATAGCAAACACCAACAAAACTAAAAGACAACCTATGGGATGGGAGAAGATATTTGCAAACAATGTGTCCTATAAAGGGTTGGTATCCAAAATATATAAAGAACATACAAAACTCAATACCAAAACCCCTGAAATAATCCAATAAAAAAAACTGACAGAAAACATGAACAGACATTTCTCCAAAGAAAACATACACATGGCTAACAGACACATGAAAAGATGCTCAACATCACTCATCATCAGGGAAATGCAAACCAAAGCTACAATAAAACTACCTTACATCTGTCAGAATGGCTCAAATCAAAAACACAAGAAATAATAAGTGTTGGCAAGGATGTGAAGGGAAAGGAACACCGTGTACTGTTGGTGGGAATACAAACTGGTACAGCCACTGTGGAAAGAAGTATGGAAAAAAGTTCCTCAAGAGATTAAAAATAGAACTACCTTGTGATCCAGCAATTGCACTCCCCAAAAATACAAAACACTAATTCAAAGGGATACATACACTCCTATGTTTATTGCAGCACTATTTACAATAGCCAAGCTATGGAAGCAGCCCAAGTGTCCATCAATAGACGAATGGCTAAAGATATGGCATGTATGTGGTATGTATGTGTGTATACATACAATGGAATATTACTCAGCCATAAAAAAGAATGAAATCTTGCCATTTACAACAACATGGATGGAGCTAGAGAGTATAATGTTAAACAAGATAAGTCAGTCAAAGACAAATACCATATGATTTCACTCATATGTGAAATTTAAGAAATAATCAAATATAAAGAAGAGACAGAGAGAGACAAACCAAGAAACAGACTCTTAACTATAGAGAACAAACTGATGGTTGCCAGGGGGTAAGTGGGTGGAGGGATGGGTGAAATAGGTGATGGGGATTAAGAGTACACTTATTATGGGGTGCCTGGGTGGCTCAGTTGGTTAAGCATCCAAGTTCGGCTCAGGTCATGATCTCATGGTTTGTGGGTTTGAGCCCCGCGGTGGGCTCTGTGCTCACAGCTCAGAGACTGGAGCCTGCTTTGGATATTGTGTCTCCTTCTCTCTCTCTGGGCCCCCCCCGGCCCCCGCTTGTCCTCTTTCTCAGTCTCTCAAAGATAAATAAACGTTAAAAAGAGTACACTTACCGTGATAAGCACTGGGTGATTTATAGAATTGTTGAGTCACTATATTACAAAACTAATATAACACAGTATGTTAACTATACTGGAATTAAAATTTAAAAATAAATAGATAAGTAAATAAATAAATATTTAAAAATTAAAAAACAACAACAAAAATATGTCAACCCTTTGGAGATGCTCTTGATGCTGGTGAATAAAGAACTGTGATAGATGTTGCTCCCAGGATAGTCCCTGGAGTTCACTGACTGTTCTTGTGCTGGTAAGGAGTCTATGAAATTCTAAGTTCCTGTTTTGCTCACAAGCCCCTTCTAAGAGACACCTTTTGCAAACAGTTGCTGTGATTCACACCATATATGCTGAATGAAACCTGGTACTTTGGCCTCAGACAAGAGTGTCCAAGTTAAAGGCTAAGTTACCACACAGTTTGATGTGGAAGAGGCCACGCCTTTGAAGTGGCTTGCATGAACCTTGCCAGGTCAGGAAATTCACTGTGGTTACTGACAAATAGACCACAACATGTTATTTTTCTCTCAGAAGTACTAATTCTAGTTGGGGAAATTTGGGGACCCAGAGTGACTATATAGTTGGTCCCTTACATTCTTGCAATAAAGTCTCATTCCCTATTTTAACTTTTAGATATATTTATTCCCCAACTAAAGAAAAATTAGAAAACAAACACAAGAACAGGTGCAATTAAAAGAAGAATCCTGAAGTAGACAAAAAATTGGGGAATGGAGAAAAGGAGATAAGAGACCTTTAAATGGTAACAATTATTACTTTTTGAATATTAATATTGAACTCCTTGTTCATTTTATAAGGGATACTTAAAATCAGATCAAACTTTCCAAGTCTAACAAAAGGAATTCAGAGTCTCTGTTGTTCTATCCTTTTCCAGAAGAATCTAAGAAAATCAGAGAACTCAAGACATGACCAAAGAATATGACATCTTAAAAACTTTATTTCCCCCCAACTTCATCAAACTTTTTATAAGCTCACCTTGGTGTCAGCTAAAACATCCCTATTTTGTCTGAACAGGCCCATCCAATTCCCCCATCTGTAAATTCAGCTCATGTTCTCAGAACAGGATTTCTCCTCCCTTCGGCCTTCACCTTCCATTGAATACCCTCTACTACATTTCTCCAAAATCCCTATAACAAATATTAGCTCACATACAAGGAAGGCAAGCAGAGTTTCAAAATGGGCCGGGGCGGCATCCGTAAAAATAGCTCTGAGGAACAACACTCCTTTATCCAATAAAAACACAAGCAGAATTCAGAATAGTTATACTGTGGGATTTGTACATCTATCTGCTCTTTGAAAAGGTAAAATAAACATGAAAAATTCCATAAAATCCTAACTGAAAGTCACCTGCCCATCACCACCACTCTCCTTTCCAATAAACACTTGCTGGCAGAAGCAGGAGAGAAATCGAAGTTTCTTGCCTCTGAAGTGACAAGTACATTCTTTCCTCATTCGCCAAGCTGCTTTTCTCCCTCTGAAGCTCCAGCTGTTCTCAAAACCCAGACATTGTTCCCTTCACTGGCTGGCCTCTGGCTCTAACCCTCAGCCAGGGCTGCATCTCCCTGAAATCTCTTGGGGACACTAACAGCCAGGACTTGGAAGAGGGTGCCTATTTAAAGCGAGTTGGGTTTTTGGCGGGGAGAGAAAGAGGGAGAGAAAGGGGGAGAGATGAATGGGAAACACTGTGTGTCAGCACAAGAACTCAAACAATTGTGTTTGGACAATGCCTGATGCTCTGATGCTGCCAAGTGATGGCTGATGATTCTCATAGTGCTTTCCAGACTTTGACTGTGGGATTCTTTTTCACTGTTGTTCACACCCTGGGACCCCCCAAGTTCTGGTGTGGAAAATAAAAAGTGCTCAGAAGATAGGTATATCTATTATGATTACATTTTCTTTCAGTTATATGAATGAGAAGATCCATAGGACCATGGGATACTTTGGGGGGTGGGGGTGGGAGATCTTAAACCCATTCATTTATATAAATAAGCTCCACAAAGGACACTATGAATTAATTCTTCCTCAGATATTATAAACAGTGTATTGTTTATGTGTCTCTCAATTAACAATATTCCACTCTTGGCCATAAGTATGATAGAGGTGGGAGAAAATGGATACAAAAGCACATTTGTTCACTTCCAAATTGAACAATCAAATTGAACTTCTGATTGAACAATCAGAAGAAAAGGCAAATACCTGCCATTTTTTAGAAATTCTGGTTTTTTAATCAAGTCAAAGCTATCCTATGTCCAGACTATTCTCACTGGATAAGTAACCAAGAATTCTTTTTTTAACTCCACATATAGCTGTTAACCACTGTCTGCAGTGATTCTTGAAAGTACAACACAATGTCAACCTGGCATTACATTAAGAGGTGGTAGCTAACCACTAACCAGCTGAATCAGTTAGAGCTCACATTTGGTGACGTGTGAAGAGGGATCTAAAACCAGACAGGTTTAAACATGATTGTAGTCTATTTCTTACCCTTATAAAAGTATGACTGCACACGATCCGAAACTAGGAATTCTGGCTCTGTTTGTTCCACCACCCCAAGGACATTTCTGTCATCTACATGGTCCAGGATGGTCTTCACTTTAGCCAGTGAGAAAGGGGAATAAAGGGGGTGGTGGGGGTGGGGGAGTCCACTACTTGTCTTTAATAGCATGACTCAGAATTTGCACATACCCTTTCCACCTACATCCCATTAACCATAATGTGGTCACATGGCTATTGTCTGAAATATGTCTTTATTTTGGGCATTCATATGACAGTTAAATATCAAGAATTCTATTAACTTAATACAGGAATCAGCAAACTATACCTGTGGGCCAAATCTGGCCCACTGCCTGGTTTTAAGTGACCTACAAGCTAAGAAAGATTTTTACATTTTAAAATGGTTGGGGGAAAAAATCAAAATTAGAATAATACTTCATGATGTTAAGATTCTGTGAAATTCAAATTTCAGTGTCCACAAATAAACTTTTATTAGAAAACAGCCATACTCACTCATGTAAGTATTGTCTACAGCTTCTTTCATGCTGCAAGAGTAGAGTTGAGTAGTTGTGACAAAGACCACATGGCCCACAAGGCCTAAAGTATTTACTATCTGGCCTTTTTTTTTTTTTTTTTCAACGTTTATTTATTTTTGGGACAGAGAGAGACAGAGCATGAACGGGGGAGGGGCAGAGAGAGAGGGAGACCCAGAATCGGAAACAGGCTCCAGGCTCTGAGCCATCAGCCCAGAGCCTGAAGCGGGGCTCGAACTCACGGACCGCGAGATCGTGACCTGGCTGAAGTCGGACGCTTAACCGACTGCGCCACCCAGGCGCCCCCTATCTGGCCTTTTTTAACAGAGTTTTCTTACCCCTGCTTTAGAAAAAACAAACAAACAGGAATTGGTGGATAACTAGCTAATTTGGCCATACCAAAGTAATAAAATTGGGAGTAGAGGAGGGTGGGTTTTTAAAGGGGCTGTAAATGAGTCCTATTTCTTTAAAAGTTCTTAAAATTGTTGGAGCACCTAGGTGGTTCAGTTGTTTAATCATCTGACTTTGGCTCAGGTCATGGTCTTGCGGTTTGTCAGTTTGAGTCCCAAGTGGGGCTCTGTGCTGACAGCTCAGAGCCTAGAGCCTACTTCAGATTCTGTGTCTCCCTCTCTCCCTGCCCCTTTCCCACTTTCACTCTGTCTCTCTCCCAAAAATAAACATTAAAAATAGTTCCTAAAATTGTTTAATTAGTTATCCATTTATATTTTAAATATTATCCCCAAACTTAGTGGTTTAAATAGTAATCATGTATTATTTAGTTTCTATGGGTCAGGAATTCAGAAGTTGCTCACCTGGGTGGCGCTGGCTCAGAGACTCTCATAAGGTTGTAGTTAGGGTACTGGCAGACACTGCAGTTTCATCTGATGGCCCAACTGGGGCTGAAGGTACCACTTCCAGATTGCTCACTCATATGGCTGTTGGTGAGTGAGGTCTCAGTTCCTCACCACATGGGCTTCTAGCCTGGATGCTAGCTTCCTCCACACTGAATTATCTGAGAGAGAGAAAACAAGAAATAGAGATAGAGGAGGGGAAAAAAACTAGCAGGTAGTCACAGTATTTTTTATATCTAGTCTTCAAAGTTTCACATGTCACTTCCATTAAATTCTTTTCATTAGAAGAGATTCACTAAATCCACTCCAGCCCACACTTAGTAGACAAGGAATTAGTTTCCATCTATTGAAGAGAAACATCAAAGAATTTGTGGTCATTTTAAAACAATCACAATAGCATCTGAGAGAAAAAAGTAAATAATTCATCTTCAGATAATGCTAGGGACATGAGACTAATGATTATGAGATAAGTATAAATTATTTAAGCAGGAAAAAATAATATTAAGCCTTATATTAGAGATGGAAATTGTTATGTTAGAGATGGTTTTCGCTCTCTTCCTTATGCTAATCAGCTGGTAGTAGTTGCCTGGAGTACTATGTTGAGAAAATTCTGATTGATAGATATCAAGTCCACATATTTTCTATCATTAGAGTAAAACTCAAAAGTTTTAAACAATGACAATTTGGAGAAAAAGCAGTATGTGAGGCACATTCAAGTCTTCAGAAAGGTTATGAAACCATACCTGTTAGGCAACTTTCTCAGGATGTTTCTCTAGAATACTGGATCCCATGAGATCCCTTGTCTCTCCATCAATCCTTCCTTCCACCAAGCCTTCCTTCCACCAACAAGTAACACTTACGTGTTACTCTGGCCGCTGGAGCTAAAATAGGGAACAAAATAAATGCCTCACCTTCATGGTAAACTAGGTATTTCTGTCTTCTGCAAAAAGTCTTCATTTTTCTACTCTTTTCCAAAAGTCATATGTTTTATTTCTCATTACTATCTAGTTACCCTAACTAATGTAGATCAATACCATGTAATAGCGATGATTTTTCAGGTTTCTGGTCACTGAATTGCAGGGTTTTTCAGAGTATGTGTCACAGAAGTATCTCCCCTGAGCATTATTAATAGGTGTAACTTGAATAGAAGGGCTTGATGATCACATAAGTTTGGAAAATTCCAGATTACACAGAGTTAAACAGTTTTCTCTACTGTAGGCAACTTTAATGGACCCATGAATCACCAGGATAAAGATGGTGTAACATGCTGTATTTCCAAAAGTTCCTTGAGTTTAAAATCCTGCGTGTTTGTTTTGTTTTGTTTTGTTTTGTTTTTACAGAATGCTTGTGGCCTGACAAATGCAGCTGGAGATACAAAGTCACTGTTTATCTCCCTTTCAGCCACATCAGTTCTCTTATGTTTCCCTAAGACCTTAGCATTCAATGAGACACATAAATGTCCATTATTACAGTAATACACAAATCCTAACTGGAAAAGAAATAGTGACAATTATTCTCATAGAATCATTCTTTAATATCTGAGTACTTCAAAGCAATACAAGTATTTTAAAACACATAACATAAATATATAGAATGTGCATCCATATATTTATGTAAAGATGGGTGTGTGCGTGTGTGTGTGCACGTGCGTGTGTATTTTGGAGTCAAAACAGCTTTCCAAATTACCTGGAAATATAATTTATTAAGTTCACATGGTATGTCAGATACTTGTAGGCATTAAATACAATGATGAACAAGAGAGGATGCTTTACAAATGTTGTCATTAATGTAGTTAATAGCTCAGAAGATTTGAGGACAAAAATCATTAAACACATTATTATCATAGCAGACACTTTGCAAATAGAAGTACAAGATACAAAAAGAGGCTATATCAAGGGGTCTGCCTCATTTAGCATTTGTGTGTACTGTATGTAGCAAAAAACTGATGCCAGTGGCTTAACCATAGAGCTTCACATAATTCGCCTCACATAAAAAGAAGTGCAGAGACAAGCAGCCCAGTGGTTAGTTCCATGGTGTCATCAGTGTCCCTGGATCCCACTTCCTTTTCATTCCTCATTCTCATTATATAGCTAATTCCTCATCCTTGCTGTGGGGTGTCCCAAGTTGGATGTTACTTTCAACCTAACTACCTGTTTTCCAGGCAAGAACAAGAAGGAAAGAAGAGTAAAGGAGTTGAATCTAGCATTTTTGTCAATTATTTCATCAGCCGAAAATGTCATGTAGCTACTCCAAACTGTAAGCAAGTCTGGGAAAGTATTTTAGCTGAATCTGTGGAACTCACTGAGGAATTTGGTTTCTGTTAAACATGAAAAAAGAATGAATATTTGGTAGTCCACTCACCGTGTCTTTTTTCAGACTCTTACATAGTCTGTGAGGGTCAAAGAAGGAAGAAGCTAATAATAATGTTTTTAAAATAGATACTCTTGTTTCTTTCTAAATCATCTCCATTTATCATACTTCTAACCTCCAAATAACTTTACATTAGCAATGTACTTTTGTCATAAACACAAACTTTTATGGAATTCCTACTACTTCCTTTGAATACCAATGAAATAAATGTGAAAATAATTTCCATTAAATGTTTGAAATTTTCAGCTTTACTATGTTAAGAAATGGTGGCTGACTTCTGTTTTTGTTTGAACTGTTTTGGGCCAGCAAAAATAATTGTTCACATTGGCAGAAGTAGAACATTTGCCAGCATGAAAAAGCACTAGTTAGAATAGCATTTAGCATACCATAACATATATTTTCTTACTTTCATAAATCTAGTTTAAAACCTTAATTTTTTATAGCTGTGGCCTCAATACTTCAGAATTTTAACTTTTTTTTCAACTTTGTAGCATATAAAAGTACATGTGTGAGCTTATAATGCCAAGAAAAGGTTTCTTAACGTTATTGCATTTCTACTTGGAATTCTGGTTTCATTTTGGGCAGACCATGCCGAATGCCTTCTTATCCAGAACACAGAAATACATTATTATAGTCACTAATCTCTCTGCTAATGCCTCAAAATTCTCTTTGACTTTCTTTGACACCCAAAGAGTACTTTTCATTCCTTTCTTTTTCTTTCTTTCTTTTTTTTTTTTTTTTTAGAGTACCAATTCCATGTTACCATCATTCTAATACTCATCTCCTACAAATGGCTGGTGGTATAGGTACTGGGTAATTCTCACTTTTTATTAAATTCAGGTACTGGTATCAAATTCTTATGTCTAATGAACCCAATATGGTTCCTGGAAAATGTATTCGCCCCAAATGCAATGAAGCAAAACACCATCTACGAAGACCATAATTCAAGTTACTCATAAAAGTACATGTTTCCCAATATCCCACCATAGGAAAATGGTTTAACATACATAATACAATGAACTAGTATATTGTGGTGTAAAATGATAATGATAAAGACTGTGACATGGGAAAATGTTTATGATTTAATATTAAGCAGATTGCAACTCAAGGAAAATGAATGCGTTAGACAAAAACTAGAAGGTAATATGTAATAATGAAAAGAATTGTGGTAGAAGGTCTATAGTATATATTTTTTTCAGTTCCTTAATTTGTTTCCATACAGTCTGATTATTCTTCAATGTGCATGTATTATTTTCATAATTAAAAAATGGGGGATAAAAATAATTTTTTAATGAAGAGATATTATGAGAGTGTGTGGTGCTCTCTACATCTGAACATCCCCTAAGTGCTCAGTGCTAACCTGGATGACTTAGTAGTACAGCTGTATGCTTAGAAAAAAAAAAAAAATCCCTTCTTTGTTCTTCTTCACTGCTATTTACCTCTGTCAGATAATCTCATAGCTCCATGGACATTTGACCACCCACAACACAAGAATAACTTCCTTTCTGCCTTTGGCTGGTAGCACACATGAATTGCTAATCCTTTCTTAAACCTCTAGGTGAGCTTCAAATTCTCATGGGACTCATATTTCCTCTAAAGGGCTTACTCCATAAAGAGCCATTCCCTCCATAGAGCTCTTTTCTGATTGTCCCTCACAAACAGTTAAGTGTGAAAAATGATGACCACTCTCCCTCTTTGTTACCTCTGTCTATCCTTTGGCCTGACTTTTAAGGTAAGGGTACCACCAGGTTTTTTTTTTTTTTTTTTTTTCCAACCTTTTGTAGCAAGACTGAGAGGGAAGGGGTGAGTTTTACTGGACACTAGTGGAAGGTTCCTATAACACCCACATAAAGAGGTAATGTGGGAAAGCCAAAGCAAGCAGAGTGATTTAAAACCAACTGGAATACAGCCAGGAAAGAAGTTAACACCCTAGGCTTTCCATGAACTTTTCTACTGTGAGTCCTAAGCCAGAGGATCCTTCATGATCAGAAATTATTGGAAACCCAGTTTCAAACTCACTGGAAAAATGATACAAGAAATGCATAACAGGGAAGGTTTTACTTAGATTACTTGATTAATTAATGACCACATTTCAACAACTCAAGGTTACTTTGTGGATGTAAATGTATGAGTAATACCCAAAACCACAAACTCAGGAGCAATAAAAGGCCTTAAGTTGAAAGTTCTACTGTCAGAATTATCCTGATTTTCCTCCGAGCAACTAGAGAGATGAAAATAAAGAAACCAACAGGAAAATTCATAAATCTGTGACTCTGGAAGGAGAAGGTCACATTCTATTGAGAAGGCGCTTTCCCTGGGTCCAGTAGGAACTGCTTTCTGCAATGCCCTGGGAAGTGAGTCCAGAGTAGAAAGGTTCTTTTCAACTTGTGTCTGGACTTGTCTACCTCTCCTGCTGGCTCACCCACACATTACCACAGTCTTTACCCCTGGTGAGCTCCATATGCCAAACCATCTCTGGAATAGAACTACACTTCCAATGAACCTACCCAGCCTCCAAACAGCTCTCTAACCAGTGACGAATACCCAAAAGCCCAGTTAAACCCCCAATTTTTATTGACTCGGGACTGAAAGAAAACAGAACACACAAAATTATCAAGGTTCTTGTTAGTTCTTTCCTTTTATTTTTTTAGTGTTTGTTTGTTTATTTATTTTGAGAGAGAGAAAGAGAGAGAGACAGAGCATGAGCAGGAGAGGGACAGAAAAAGAGAGGGAGACACAGAATCCGAAGCAGGCTCCAGGCTCCAAGCTGTTGGCACAGAGCCCGACACATACTCACGGACTGCAAGATCATGACCTGAGCCGAAGTGGACGCTTAGTTGACTGAGCCACCCAGGTGTCCCAAAGTTGTTGGTTAGTCCTCTGGCTATGAGTTAGCCTTTCTCCTTGTTATGGGTTGAATTGTGTTCCCACCCCACCCTCCCCCCCTCTACAAATTCATATGTTGAAGTTTTCACTCCCAGTACCTTAGAATGTGACCTATTCAGGAATGGGTTGTTGCAGGTGTAATTGGGTAAAATGAGGTCATGCTGGAACAGAATGTGCCCTTTATCTAGTATGACCAGTGTCTTTATAGAAAGTGGAAATTTGGACACAAACACTCACAGAAGGAAGACAAGGTAAAGACACACAGGGAGAAGAGAGCCATCTGATTATAGAGACTGGAGTGATTCACCTGCAAGCCAAGGAGTGCCTGGAATCACTGATACAGAGCAGAAGCTAGAAGAGGTAAGGAAACATTCTCCACTACAGATTTAAGAGAGAATATGGCCCCGCTGACACCTTGGTTTCAGACTTCCAGCCTCTAGAACTATGAGACAATAAATTTCTGTCGTTTAAGCCACCCAGTTTGTGGTACTTTGTTATAGCAGCTCAGGGAAATTACTACCATGATCTACCGCCAAAATTTGTTTAATGATCTCTCTGCTGATTTGTTAAAGAACTGGATACTACCTCCCTCTGAGAAACATTTGTTACTCACTTTAGCGTCATT